ATAGCGTCGGGTCAAAGCGCTCTGGCTGTGCCAAAGCCGTGCATGGTTGTAACCCCCTATTTCTCCTATGGCGAAAACGACAACAGTTTTATCCATGAAACATTGGAAGGTTTTTCTTCACTCATTGGAATGAAACACCGGATGAGACTATAGAGCGGCATAGTTACAGGGTGAATCAAAAGAGTGAGAATACAGGAAAAACAGTAAACCTAGATCCGAGGGAAAGGCTAGGCCTAACCCATGTAATTTCCTCAAGCAATTTTCCTTGTGAAACGGATCTGAACTGATGCTCCGTCTCTTTTCATTAACTGGACGTCGACAGCGACGAGGTAACAGAATGACGTTATAAACTATCAAATTTTCCACCACCATGCTACCCCCCAATAGAGTCCTGCACGGGTCGATTTTCCGGTACCCGATAGGCCCAAATAGGGTCATGGCCCGCACCCGACCTTAAAAGCTTTAACCTGTTTTTTTTTGTGCATTTCCTCTTCTTTCCAAGTTCTTTTGCCGGAACAGGACACCGTTGATAGCCGACTGACAAGGAAACATTTATTGGAAAAGAAATTGCCTTAGAAGGTACTAACTGTCCCATGTCCGTCTAAATTTCACATTTCCATTTTTTCGATTCATGATCAAAACAATTTACTATTTCTCACAGATTACATGCAAAAATATTATTCCAGTCATGACAGGGAATTTCCATGGTCTCAAACCAAAGGAATGATAGCATGGAAAAATTAAGTATTAAAGTTGGGAATGACACGAACTGACACGACCGGAGAAACTATCTTGAAAAATTCGGCCCTCGACGGCCCGCGGGTCGAGTCGGGTCGAGGTGAACGAGTCAGGCCTCAGTCCGTGCAACACTTTAAATCTCGGCTCCTCCAATAGCGAAAACAGCTGCCGTTTTACTCATGAAACATTTAGAATTCCTCCTTACTCCCTGGAAAGTCATAACTTTGTTGGCAGCACGCGTAAAAATAACGCGTTTACAAAATATTGCGCGTTTGTTTACGTATTTCCATGTTCGTTCGCATGACGAAATCATTCATTCCCTTTTCAACGAAAACTTCAAGTATGGGAACTAGGGCATGTGAAAAAACGTATTATAGCATTGACAGTATGGTCTCGAATAATGAAGAAGAAAATAATTGCCCAATGGAGTTCAACAGTCTTCCATTGCTGGTCGTGCTCCCCATAAATGACTTGAAAGCTTGGTATAATTGCCATGCTCACCAGAAATTTAAATGGTAGGCAAGGCCTGGCTAACGGAATTCGAGTATTAGTTGAGTGACTACATGAGGACAGTTGGACGTAGAAGTATTTGAACCTGGAGATATCGACTGACAAAGCTAAAGGACAAAGATTGTTGCTCCACGTATTGACTTGGCTCCGTCACACCCGATGATGCCTCTTACGATCAAACGGCGTCAGTTTTCATTCTGAGTTGATTTAGCCATGACTGTCAGGAGTCAAGGGCAAACATTCAAACGAATTGGATTGTACGTTCCTGAGCCCGTATTTTCTAAGAAACGGTTCCATTTCGCTTTCTCAAAAGTACAACTTTCAGAACGTTAAAGTGAATGTATCAATACAGGTTGGTCCAAAAGTCTCTATACATAGGGAAAAAGTAACACTTTTTAAAAAAGTGCAACTTTATTTTCTAAATATGCTCTACATACATATTGCATTATTTGTATTTGTGTATGTGTGTTTTCAAAGTAATGGCAACCGTGTAGAGCATATTTTGTGAGGAAATTTGCATTTTCTTAAAAAGTGTTAATTTTCCCTATATATGGAGACTTTCGGAAAACCCTGTAGAATCTGAACCGTAATAAGGTTGATACCCAGGCTACGATGGCACCTATACACTGAATGTCGCGTTCAGAGATGTATTGAATTGAAAATTTTGTGCAATTTTTTAAAAGTCAATTTCTTAAATCCATTTAAATTAATTTTACGTCTTCTTGACTCAAAATCAAGAGACAGAATTTCTATTGCGATTGTTCTTTGGTGGAGTTAAAAAATCTATATTCCGACCATAAGTTCTTATACTTACAGGATATTACCTTTGTGGTAATACGTGCAAAACGCTACATTTTCATTCGGCACAATTTACGCTGGGTCCGGCTAGTATACGAGACCAGTTCACGCTGATTTGAACACTTTCAATTCGCAAGAAATCCTTCATTTATTTTTGTAGAATGCCTTGCAATGCTCGATAGGCTTGCCGTGGTTGTACACAGCTCGGCACCGGTATTTCCATTGGAGAAGGGCTCGTCGGATCACGGAGAAAGGATGTTCCTTCCATTCCTCCTTGCAGGTTCTCCATAGACTAGCCCCAGTCGACACCCTACGACGAGCGAGGCACTGCTTGAGGACTCCAAACACGCAGAAATCCATCGGAGCATCAGTCAGGTGACTGATATGAGTGGGAGGAATGGTGGCGATTCCGGTTTCTTTCTCCAATCTTCCCAGGAAACCCACAGTCGATTTAGAGAATTGGCTGCTGGCTTTGTCTTGGTGGAACTTCACTTGGTTAGATGCTTTCCCATACAAGCGAGGAATTTCTTTTTTCAAACATGGGCCTCAGTACTTGTTCTTGATAGTACTTGGAATTGATTTTGACCTTTTTGTCAATCTTTCGGAGATCCAGTTTGCCTCAGTAGCTCTGTAGCTCACAGCAGCGACGATCATGAATCCAGGTGAGAAACTCTCTGCCCTTTCTCGGTAAAGAGGTTAGACGGCCGCTGCCGACTTCTGTTGATAGTAAATGGCTCGTGTCTTGCTGCAATCAGAGAGATGGATTGGTGATTCATCCAGAGTGACGACGATTTTGTATTTTTCGCCAGCCAAATACTTCTCAGAGCCGCCGACAATGAGTCTTTCTTTCGCGGATGTGTCTGGGGAGAAGCTTGTGGACTTTCCGTTTTCTGCGGGTTGCAAGGCACAGATCTTAATGGATTATTCGGTTGACGCATCCAAGGCTTATTCCCAGTTTCTTCGCCACCGCTCTTTGGGACTTTGGATTTTCACCAATATCACGGACTTTCTTGACCATCGCCTCAGTGCTCACAGACTTTGGCTGTTTTTTGACTGAGTCAGGATAGCCAAGATGAGCTGCCAACCGATTACGTTGGATATTGATCCGACTGAAACATGTCATCTGCGATTTTTACATTTCTTCTGAATCACCCTGTAGGAGTTTCTCTCCATGGAAAGGGTTCGTATGAATGTTTCGACTTCTTTCGCCAGTGGTTTCATTGCGAATTGAATTTTCTCAGAGAGACTTGAAAACAACTTGCCAAAAAGTAGGTTCAACAATGGAGCAAGGTCAATTGCTTCATCTGATGGCAAGGATGCCGTTACAGGCGGAGGAAAGGTTTCAAATCAGGCGTGAACAGGTCTCGTATATACACTATATTAAACGGGGTGGGGTGGGAACATCCCCTCAGATTTTTTGTGAAACGAATACGTTGTGCAATAAATTCTTCAGAATCCTGCGGCCATTCATAGAAATATTTTGCTCATTGTAGTAACTATTTGCATGGTCTGGGTGTGTCACTTGTCTGATTTCCATTTCCATGTGTATTCTGTGTTCTCAGTTGCAATAGATAGGACGGGCGAGGAAATGAATCCGACGATGGCAAATGGAAAACTCGACTGAGATCGTTTGACAAGATTGCAGACAAAAAATTAAATAATTACCTCATTGCCAGCCCCATCCTACTCGTTTTGCGTCAAAGAGTGACATTTTATCATCCCTTGGGTTCTGAGGAAACTCTCTGGCAATTGCCCTCATACAGATTTCCCGTATTCTGACGAGCATGAGTACAGCAGTTTGAGTTTTGGATCATGAAACAATGAAGTAATGACGTTAAATGATACACATTTAAAATAACAATTCAGATGCTAAAAATGGAATATGTGAAAGGCATTATTTATCAGCGACGATTTTTTGCTGAAAGAAGTTAATGAAAGTCATTATAATATTATGCGGGGACTGTCAGCACAAATCGCTAATTTTATTACATACATTAATAACTTCATGGTTTAAAAAGTGGTCTGTTAGCCTAATGAACAAAATCTTCGTCGTGTATCTCATACCAGTTCCTTTAGACCTATGGGATCTCGCCTACATTATTAGTATTCGTATCGCCAAGTGCATTTAGAGCTCTTCTCCTCACCGATGTTGAAAGAAATACAGAGAGTTGGCCTTATTTTGTTCATTGCTGGCAAAATTTGGAAGATTCTTGATCGCTATATTGTACCATGTCGTGTGGCCCTTATCCTGGGCTTGACTTTCCTGATTTCTGGAGCTTATGACCACGAAATGATTCCTATTGTGATCTCGTGAAAAGACGTTCCGCTGCGAAAAAAATCGGAGAAAGTCGATGGAAAATAGAGGGTTGAAAGGAGATGGGGTGGAGTAACGATAATTCATCCCATTACCGTATATGCGATAGGTGGGATGCGACAAATTCGCAAATGTGGCCTCCATATCTTAATTTTCCATAATTTTTGTACACAATGAACTCAATAGTAGATATAAGAGTTAAAAAAGGTTGTTTGTTGCAACAAAAATGTACTTGCTTGCTTGTTTAGTTAGAAGGCATAGTTCAATATACGCATACTTCAATAGTCTCTACTGTGGAGACTAATATGTTGGTGTTGTTCCATGGAATTGATTTAGTTGCTTTTCCTGATGAAATATGCATTCCATTCCAACATTCATACGACATTCTTGGCATGGTACACTAGCATGAGATTGTAAGTCAAATGACTCAATGTCTTTTGGCATAATTAGTTGTACTGGTATTCTCTTTTTCTTAAACCCTTTCAACCCAAACCCAGCGTTTTAGGTTGGTACCATGGTTCTGAGAGCATAATATACTATTTGACCATGAATGAATTAAATGATTGCATCATTTAAGTTACGTAATTGGCGGTTGTCATTCTGTTTCCTGGAGGTGACAGGTTTTCCCATTACAAAAATGATGGAGTTCAATGTCGTGACTGCATTATTGCTGTTGCTGCCGTTGCATCTTGTAACAGCAGATTATGATGTGATTAAGGACTACAAGGGTCGTGAATGCACCAGGAGGTGCAACAACCAAGACAACGGCTTAGATGGGACAGTCAGACCTAACAGTGGCACAGTGAAATACAACTTTTGCTTTGTCAACACAAACCGTGACTGGGGCTACTGTTCTCCCCAACCTGGCATAACGAGTTACAACAAGGTATGCAAGAAGAACCACCAGTGCGAGAAGCATGGCGAGGATTACTATTGGTGCTACACTGAGGATGAGTCATGGGATTACTGTAGCCCTCCAACAGAAAGGAGGTCTGGCTCCAGGTTGGTAGACTCTGATGGGTTCTTCTGCAAAGACAATTGCGACAGCAGGGGGTCTACATACACTTGGTGCCACAGTGACAACTACCGAGAATGGGGATTCTGCTCAAAGATACAGAATTTGGCATCCAATGGGAAAAAGTGCAAGGTAGTGCCAATTGCTCAAATTGCTATTTCTGCAATAAAATTGAGATATCCATAAAAATTCAACAAGTTCCACTTCAGAATCAGGAAAGATGAAAAATGGTCAAAATTGAGAGCCTATTCGGATCATATTTTCTAATAATTTTAAGGAAAAACTGGAAACCTTTCAAGTGCTGACAATTTGGAGCATATTTTGCAGTATTTTTTGCCGACTGACTAATTCAAAATTTTGGAAATCAGCGAATTGGCCCAATACAAGAATACGTTGGAATAATTCACATATGTAATTTTTTTAAAGTACAATTGACCTTGCAGGAAAGACAGGAATTTAAAAATGATTTTTAAAGTTCAAAGTTTGTAGACACTTTCTCCAAACTTGAAACACAAAAAAGAATTGTTTGCGGCGCCACAGGCCCCGCAAAGGTGAACCTTTCAGGAAACTTATATCAAAAGTCAACCTGCAACATATAAATTTTTTGCAAAATTTATTACCTCTGATTGATGGAATGGGAGTACAAAACATGAAGACCTGATCGTGGTAGCCATCTTGTATAGTCGCTTTGCTTGCAAACTGACTACTTGCACCAATACCACTACTCTGACAATATAATTTGTGAATGCCAGTAACATTGATAATAATTACAATTTATGTACCAGGATGACAGTCCTTGCAGCAAGCATGACCACTACTACAACTATTGCTACACCCAAGGAGGTGGATGGTATTACTGTGGAGATGTCGAGTCTGGTAGATCTGGTAAGTTTATGCTTTTTGGGACACTTCGGCATTTTTTCTGAAGATATCAAGTTTGGGAACAGGACGCTATTGCTTTGCAGTATGATGTGAAAAAGTACTGTCGTAAGAAAGTGTGTACGTTTTTTTGGAGTGGCTAATAGCTCGGCAATGTTTAAAGCATTGGACACCTGTTTACAAGATCGCACTTTTGAATCTGAATCTGAAAATATTGAAAACATTTTCTTAAACATTGGATTATGCCAGAAAAAATGCCCAAACCACATTATTTAGTAAGTTTCTGTTTTTGTATATGAGCATGTATGCTTCAATTGAAAGCAGATAAAGCAGTTTACGAATGTTACACATATTGAGTATTTGTTTTTACTCAATTTATAGATATATTTATTTTAATTTTCTCCAACAGTCGCACCTTTAAATGCGTGTCTTTTTATTTATTGCTTTATTTTCATGTATTTGACATTTCTAACTGAAAAATTAATTACTGGACCAGTGGACCTAAATGGTGTATCTGGAACATAGGTATTGGGCATGAGGAAAGCAATAAAGTTGCATTGGCTTGAGCAAAGAAAAGAACACCTCTAGTGTGATAATGTAGCCGTGTCATCTGTGGTAGATGCAGATTGATGTTTCTTATGCATCTGGGGGGATTGATGAAAGTGGTTGGATCGATGGCTATGAAGCTTTTTTTGTGGAATTAAAGTCGAAGCTTCAGGCTTGATTGCAACCGGGTTGTATAGTTGAATGTGAGTGAAAAAAATAATCTGGTTTTTCCAAGAAAGCTGCACAATGTCAAAGAATGTTTTCTGTTTAAAAAGGCCAGCCCCTGAGAAGTTAATTTTTTGTCTCAACTCAGGGGGGCTTTTGAAGTACCTTATATTTTTGCTGGGGGACTTACTGGTGTTACAGCACCACCAATAACTCTTATATTCCATATGGGTTGGAGATTAGTTGTAGATAACCATGCAAGAGTATCTTTCACCAGTTTGTCGGTTGATACTGTAGGTGCTCGAAGGCACCAGTTCAAAGTGAAGCATATTCATTTAATCAAGTGTTTCTCTTTATTTTTAGAATATCGCAGAAATGTCCCACAGTGTGACTTCTCCAGTCCATCATCAAGAGTGGATTGCGGTTGGTCGGGTATTCACCGCTCCCAATGTGAAAGCATGGGCTGCTGCCATGATGCAACCTACAAGGATCACTATAACTGTTTCTACAAACAGGTAGACTGTGCAAAGTTGATCGATGCTGCTGATAATTCGTACACTCTGGAAACAAATGGTGACTGCGAGACAGGAGTGAAAGCTTGGAGATATTCCGCATTCACAGTAAATGGCACCAATTTGGACCTTCGTAAGAAAAGAACTGTCTCCGGATGCCCTGAGCAAGCTCATTCATACTATATAGGTAGATTCAACCAACGGGTTGATGCCTTAACCGATGAGTTGGGCAACATGCCAGGTCAGATAGACATCTTTGAACCTAACAATCATAACAATCCTATCCAGGCCGTTTATAGGCGACGGCTCAACCGTGAAACAGATACGCCCATTCACCGCGTTGAAGCACTTCGGGCTGTAATACGACCACACCATATCAACCGAAACAATCGCGTCAACCTCCCCCGGAATGCCAGGCAATACATGCTGGAATACCTAAATGGTGAAACTGAAGATGAAGCGTTCCACCTTGTTGGCAGTGAGTTGGGTGGACCAGGGCAATTCTACAATATGGTGCCAGGTCACAGATCGGTCAACAGGAACTTTGGCACGCCTGGCATGTTCCAAGAAAATGACTGGCGTTCAGTTGAAAGAGCTATGCGGCAACATCTTGAAAACCATCCCTATGGTCGGGTGGAGTTCAATGTCCTGCTAAGATATCCCACTGATCTTAATTATGGTCGACCCATGTTTATAGAATACTGTGCTTCACTATTCGATAACAGTGAGTCTTTGACTGGGGATACTTATTATGCTAAAGAATGTTTCAATGATGACACTGGACGCATTCATGGCTAATACAGGGATGCCTCTTGAAAATATTAAACATGGATGTCTCAATAATACCTGGATATGAAACATCCCTACTAAATATATACATACATTTTGACTGATATTGATCGCAGCGTATGAGACACCATTGATGTTTTTGTTTCTGAAGATGCAACTGATGAAGCCGATCCTGATGTTCTTCAAAGTGTAGATTCATACTCGTACCCGTAATGGTTATTATTGAGGATGGTGGTCGCTGAATCAGTATTGGTGGAAGTTGATATAATTGTACTTTGAACAGATTTTGTTGGTGTGGTGTAATGAATGGTTGGTTTTGAATTGCTATTCGCTATTTGCCTAAGCTGAAGAAGCTGTACTTTGAACAATTGTTGTTTCTGATATTGCATATTTAGTTATTTTCCTTTGATGTAATTACTGAATATATCGGCAGCGTTCAGTACGTTTCTTCCTTTTGCTTTAGTTAGACAAATTGTCAATATTACTAGTTTTTTTTCTTTGGTCACGTATTAAAGGAAGCTAGCATGAGATTTGCTTGTTTTTCAGCTCTTTTGATATTGACTTTGGATAATTCTGAATAAATCATTCAGAATATCAAGAATGAACTCGCACCATTTTTCCTGTCCTGGTAATTATCAAAAGTATTTTAATATGAAGTTTTCCCATGTGTTCTTCTCATGTATTGTTGATTCCTTTTCTGAGAGTTGCGTTGCGACATTTTCTCCTTCTGATTCCATTAAGAGCGTAGGATCTTCTTCTCGGGAGGATAACATGTGTATGTAACGTGATTGTTTCCCTCTACATTTAATAGCCTCAAATGTTCTTTCTGGCATAACATTTCGTCCATGTAAATATTTGTTCAGGTCTTTAATTCATATTGACCTTGTTTCTCCGGCTTTGCTAGAATAAAATCTTCTGTGCCCCATCGCCTTTTATTTTTACGGGTGTTTTGAGATTCATAGTATCCGTTCTTATGTTGTGCCTGCATATGAAGACTTCGTCCAATATTTGTGTGAAATGTCCTTTCCCACAACGTACAGGGTTATGTTTCCTTTTAAAAAGAATTACCAGATATTGGTTTCAACAATTTCAATTAAGGTTTCAAGATTTCAATTAGTCATTTAGTACCTTATTTGATCATTACTTGACCGACTCAGACATCTTTCATACCTTCTAGCTGAAAACATGGTTTGGCTTATGTTAATTGTCACGAATACCATTGCCTTCCGTAGAAATCTCAGCCTGGAACGAGGGAAATCCATTCAATACCCCCTTTATTTTACAATACATGTATTTGGAGATTGGTTTTAGTGTGAATTTGCTTGGGGGGGGCATCTTGAATGTTCTCAAATGATTCAATATCCAACCTGTTCTAAAAAAAATAGGGACGAGTATGCAAAAAATGGAACCTGTGCTATCCATTTCCTTTGGTACGGACCGTGGCAGTAAACATACTCCAGACCAAAGGGACCCATACGAAAATGCTTTATAAGAACATGTAGGAATCCTATAGGTTCCTATAGTCCTTATATGGATCAGTTTGGGACCTATATGGTTCCCTATAGAACCTATAGGGTTCCCTATAAAACCTATAGGGTTCCCAATAGTACCTTTACAGTTCCCTATAGTACCTGTAGGGTTCCGTATAGGTCCTATAGGTGTCCCTTTAGAACCTGTATGACCTATAGGGTTCCCTATAGGGCCTATAATGAACCCCAAAGACCTATGGGGTTCCGGTTGAAGTTCTCCTCTAGGCCACTAGATGGTGGTAGGTGGTTCTCGCATTTCTCAAAGTCCACAAAAGTGCTCTCCCCTTACCCATGGAATCATCTCTCACAAGGGAAGTACATTCCCAAATGTCTCACCTTGCCTCATTGTAGCGATAAATAAACTTCGACATTTCCTTATTCGTCATCCCCATCATCCAGATAGAATCATGGAATCCAGGCAAGAAATATGCCAATATTCCCTTTGAAAACGACACACGAGAAGAAGGAGGCTTCATCTGAATGGAGGTATTACATTATTGTTACACCAGCTTGGAAGAAGGTCAATAATAAGAACCAGAGAATGGACATGAGATAAAAATTAAAATTCTGTTCCCTGAAATGATTATTAGGCAATAGATACTCAACGAGCAATAGCTGAATATGAACCAGAGTGGGATGGGTGGGGCGACCGACAGCATACGATCTCCAGCACTAACGCCAAGGGTCCACTCAATATCCCGCGTCTTCTATTAAGCTTCTCCTCACTATCCTCCAATTCAACTCCTAGTCCGAATCACTAACTTGATGCTCTCATTGGCTCTCCCGCGCGACCCTTTTATTCCGTTAAGTCTGATATGCGTATTATCTTTTACGGTGATTTCATCATCATTAAAAAAGTATCTCCAACATCTTCGATATATTGTAACTGCAGACGAGATGTAATGTTGGATGTTCACCGCCCTATACATCTTTCAGAAATAAGATTAAAGCTGGATTGAGGCAAGCTCCACCTTTTGTCTTCATGAAAGCATTTTCTGCCATGCTATGATCATATATTTGAGTTTAGGTGAGGAAGGTGGAGGCATGTTTGACTGACTAAGAACCTTCTTTTGCTCCTTCTGATATTTCCTAGAAGGGAGGAAAAACGGAATGCATGTAAAAATAGTCATTGACAGTGTTTCTTTGAAGTATGCCCGCCATACAATATCATTTTATTCCTGCTACTTATTCAAGAATCCAACACAGTGAAACAACTTCTGTGAAAGGATTAGTATTGCTTGTTTAGAAACTTCCCAAAATGCATATGGAAATTCTTATTTAAAAAAAGAGCAAATGCAGCTCTTGACATGACCGACCTGGATGATTTTAAATATTTACTGCCTCCGCGATGCACTCTGATGTTTCAAACCAGTTTCAATCCAATTTCTCCTTCGACTACAAATTGCAGTTGAAGGAGAAAGTGTATGTTTAATCTTTAATGACTTAAAACTGCTGACTTAGTCTAGCAGGGTTTTACACAAATATGTCAATTAAATTCTGTAGTTGGAATTAATAATAGTAGTGCAGAAGAAGACAAAGAGTTGGAATCATCGAAGTTATCCCATAAGGTTGCTCGGTGGAGCTCACCTGACACGACTGTTTGCTAAGTGAACGTGCCATATCAAGAATAATTGAGCTCTCAATGCAAAGTATTAAGAGAACGCACCTGCATCTTCTCAGGGTAACATGAGCTTCCCCATCAATTTGTGGCATGTAGGTGGCCATTAAGGTATGGGGAAGTTAAAGTGTTCCTTATAAATGGGACATATGTTCCATATATTTTCTCAGGGAAATTGAATACGAGGTAGGGGACTCTTCTACCTCACGAGGTAGAAGAGTACTCTACATCACCTGATGCAGCAAAAGAAATGGAAGAGAGGAGGTCCTTTTGGGAGGGAGGACCTCTCCTACCTCTACAGTCGCAGGAGAAGCGCATATGCACTCAAAATTCATAAGAAGATCATCTCAAATGTGAACTGGAGAAAGAGGAAGAAGAAAAGAGGCATCTGGATGAATTCTGCAAATACGCCCCTCTCCCTTCTCTTCTCGCAAAAAGCCTTCAGGAAAAAGAGTGGAGCACACTCAAATCAGTACGCCAACCTCACCTCCTACAATTGAATTGCCTCTTGAGAGGGGCTGAAAAATCATGTTGGGTCACCTGATAATGCCCTTAAGGCAAGCTGGGATCCTTTTGATTTCATATTCCCCTCTTGTTACATTGCATTGTATGCTTTTTTTTTAACAATAAGAAAGGTTTTACAATAAAAAAAATGTTCGCATGGAAGAAAAAATAAAAACGAGCAAATGCAGACACAGACAGTTTGTGTATGGGATGCTTTTGCTTGCGGGCTGAAGCTGACCCCGTTCTGCTCTCATTTTCCTTCCCCGCATCCTGTGTCTTTGTTCCTCTCCCCGCCTGTCGATTTTCCGGCCATGTGTACTCTTACTATAAAGTATCAACGGCTAATTTTTTGGCTACGCATCTGAATGCCAGCAGCACTGAGGCTTCAAGACCTAATTCAAAATGAAATTTCAGGGTCCTTTTATGGAGTAACGAATCGGGTAACATTACTGACTCCTGCTTGTTACTCTTAAAGTTACTCTACTCCTGAGGTAACGAAATCGATGGTTTTCTTACTCCTATTCAGAGTAACTTTCAGTGTAACATTGGTAAGAGTGTACATCTCGACAGTGACACTTGAAGAAAAATCACTTTCTGGATATATTTTTAGTCTAGATTCCTTCTTAACCGGTGGTATAAATGTTGAAGCTGAGGGCCTTCATTTTAGTTTCATACTCCCCCAAAAAGAACCATCCTCAATCTCACCTCTCCCGAGAGGTAAGGCAACGTTCCGTCTCTCTCAAGCGTCTCTAAAATGGCTCGTCTCATGAAACTACTTTTTCAGACAAATTTTGGAGGTAAAAATCCATTCTAGTTTGCGGAATGCGTTTCATTTCAGAGGAAAGGGGGCACCTAATAAGTTGACAAACTCCCCTTTGCGAACATCACATATTCGATTTATCATAATCAAGAAAATCAGTAATCTCGTGAAAATCGTTACCATTAGAGCCTTAGATTGTGTACTCCTAACACAAGGATTGATACCGAAAATCCACGCGTCACAGAAATCCTTAATGCTCCTTCGTGTAGGAAGTGCGGCGGCTCTTTTTTCGACTGAGGAAGGGTCAGCGCCAGGAGCCAGTGAGACTGGGGATGAGAGGGGGAAAAAGGGCGAGGGGGAAGTACGTCCATGCGACAGGGTCTAGGGGCAGGCGAAGGAACATGGGAGAGCGAGTTCGGAGGGAGGTCCAAGGTAGAAGAGCTGCGCGTGAGGATTCAAGATTTCATGCAAATCGGGAATTAAAACCCCGCGTACTCTATCACCTGGGAGAAAGTAAGCAATCTTGATGTCATTTGATCCCCGAAGCATATCTCTATGCGATAGGAACAAAAAAATCCAGTATTTGCTCCCGATGAAC